CTCATTAGAGAATTCATAAAACAATCATGTCTTCAACGTAGGAAGAAAAAGATATGCTTATGTATTAGATACATTTGTGCAAAGTTTGTACAACTACAAATAAGTGACGAAACATTTCGATTTCTTAGATATCAAGAAACGGTGTATAGAAGTACAAGTAACGAGAGAAGACAAACAATTACAACAACGGAATTCTAACTACACCATCCAACCATAGATCACGGAATGTGTTTGTTCGGTGATTGTCTGTAAACATTTATTGTTTTCTGTTGAACAGTTAGGAAACGAGGGCTGCTGAGATAAAACGGATAGACTTGGTTTCGTCTTGGTCTAATATTCGCTAGCAAATTAATCAATATCGACCAAAATTGTTCACGGAATCGTTTCGAGGATGTGCAGTAACAGTAAAATGAACTCTAAAAAATGCAAAAAGCAAGACATGCGTGTGTGTGAGTAAGCGTTATCCTAACTCACGGAAAAAGCACCATAAAAGTAAATGGTAGAAAACGTGGATGCCACTTGTTCTTGGGCAACACGAGAGGCTGTCTTACCAAGACTGGTGGTGAGCAGAGCGTATAATTGAATGATCCCATAAGGCGTTACGAACACAATGACAATGACAATATTGTACAGCGACATTCGAATCATTTGTCGAACGAGAGTAGATGGAGTACGCCGTTGTTGTGCGTTAATCGAGTTCATATTGCGGTAGGCCAGCAGACCGAAGACGGACATCACTGAAACTGGAATGACGACATAAAGGCAAAGATTAATAAAATAGAGTTGATATTGGTTATAAGCCACATTCATGGTGTTACATGCTCTAGCTCCTGTAGCTGTCACTACTAGATCTTGGTAGAAAAAGAAGGGCAACGAATGAAGAAAGCCAAAGGCGAGAATGCCGACCACGATATGACGTGCACATCTGATGTTACTTTTTTGACGTAGGGTGACCGATGAAGAAGAGCAAACAAAAATGTCGATTGACTGCACGGCCAGTAGACTGAATGAGATAATATTGTTCGCGGTAATCCAACATCGTCGTAATTTACACCATGGTCGATTAATGAGAGCCCAATCGATCTGAAAGCCTGCAGCCAGAATACGTGTGCCGAGTCCAACGATCAGAGCACTTAGATCAAGTAAGGCTTTGGTGAGCATGTAGAGTGAACAAGGATTGTGCTTGTAATAACCTATAGAGATGAAGATGACCACGTTGAGAAAATTACCGAGAATGCCAGTGACGAAGAAGAAAAATCCGGATGACTGACTCAGATAGCGCGATACAACTTGCAATTCAGTGATAAACGAAGAGCTACTGCTAACAGTGCTGTTTGATGCCATGTAAATAAGTACTTTGAATTCTGTGGCCAAGAATCTAGAAAAAAACAGAAAATAGACATGACGACATTATAGAAGTTTCAGTGTACTATTCTGTTTTTCCAACATTATCTATGGAAAAACAGCCTAGTTCTTCTCCATAAAAAAAAGGATGATCAAGTCATGGCCGAAGAATGGCAGCATGTTGCTTTATCAGCTCCTCTCACTTGCACACTGCTAACAGTTGATTGTGCAGAAGCATAATGAAATCTGTTTGCAGTCAAAAAAGTTGACTTCTCATAATGACGATGTGAGGAGTTCAAAAGTATTCAAAAACAGATTGTGCACTATGCTAAGTAGGCCTAGAGAGATTGTAACTGATGAAAACTTAAAGAACACTGTCGACAGAGGTTATAGTAATAGAACACAAAAAAAAACACTTCTTTCTCCTATTCAACGTTCGTACGTGAGATCTGTAACGCTTCCTGTTGCCGTATCATACGATTAATATTTCTGATAATTTTTGAAAATTTTTCATCCATATTTGTGAAATTAGCATCGTTATCGAACACAAAACAAAATAGCAAAGAAGAAACATGTTATCAGCTTTGTTGCATAGATTTTTTATTATTTTAGTCTACATTAAATGAGAGAATATAGAAAGCGCAATGATTAATTAGTACCGAAGAAAGATAAAAAAAGTGAATGAGTAAAGCAAATTCTCAAGTAAACATATGATTAACTTTCATCTTTTCCAATAGATCAAACAGAGCGATAGTAAACCTTATAGTAGGCATGGTACAACTAAGAGAATAAGTTAAATATCTTTACTTTTTTTTGTGACACTAAATATATCATTCTATCTTACATCTTGTTAAAAAACAAAAAACTAACGAGTTAATGTTTAACAGAGCAAACAACGTATTTTTTAAAGAAAGTTTTCGCATTTTATTGTATTCAAAGTTTCGGACGTATCAGAACTAGTGAAAGTTGCTTTAGAAACTGGTGAAAATGCACAAGTTTGAAGAAAATTACTCATTTTAACGGTATCATATTTTCTTATCATGTTGAAATGCCTTGTTTTTGAGTGTCTTGTCTATCTATAATTCGAGTTCGGATATAACTGAGATTTTTGAAATCAATCAATAACCACAATAGATAAAAGCAATAGATAAAATTTTATCTAACCTATAATTATAATTCAGATAAGCACGTTATTGTAACTACGACAGAAAAGCCAAAGACTAGGGATATCGACTTGGCATTAGCATCGCATTATTTAGTAGTAATTTTAATACTTTTGTATTAGAATTGCAATAATAATTTAATACTTTGCATTAGTATTGAATTAGGATATTTAATACTAAACCTAATTCAATACTAATGACAAAGTATTAAATTATTTTGTTAGTTCTATTACAAGAGTATTTGCGTTTTTCTAATAGTATAGAGTGCAAAGAAAACTGACCCCTCGAGATTAAAATGTAACTAAATATTTATTTATAATTATAAAAAAGAACTAAAATTATATGTCAACAGTAACAATAGTGAATATACAATATATACAAAAACAATTTCATACAATCTTACAATTAAAAAATTAAAATTAAACAATAGTTGTTATTTTCCGTCTATATGAATCTATTTCGCATGGTTGTGATCTTTTTTACGTTTAAAAATTAAAATAACCTTCTCACATATTATCTTGTTGAGTTATATATCTAAGGGTACAATTTTTGAGGGGCTTTCTCTCGATGCTAAAAGATTTTTGGGAAGAAATTGCTCTGGTACACTTTCAAAGCAAAAATATAAAAAATTTTCATCAAAAATGATCATTTTTGCCTTTGTTTTTTGAGTTCAATGTAATATATTAGAGACTGTTTAAACACGATTTATATTTGAGAATCTTGTTCTATCGTGATGCATTTAACAGATCTAATCAAGATACGTTAATTAATACTAAAAAAGAGGAATCTTTAATGGTAATATATGTTGTTATAAAGTGTTAAATAGAATTTTCTAAAATTCGTCAAAATTTTCGAAAATTTATAAAGTATTACCTGAGGGTGAATTCAAAGATCCCTTCATATCTATTGATAGGATTTTCAGAAAGAGCTAAAAATTTGGGTTTGAGCATAACTTTTTACGGACTTTTGAA